GTCCCTGCAGCAGGACTCACCCCGTGGCTCAACCATGGAGAAACTCTAAATGACTTAACGGGACACGAAACCTCAAAGGAGAGGAAGAGGCCCTGTCCTTATTTAACCTGCCCATTTCAGCCTCAGGGACGGTTTAAAGAGCCGTTCTGTTGTGCTGTTGTCAACAGAGGAGCTCTGGCCTGCAGCTGAGCTGCAGAAATTCCTGCTTCGTGCCTGTCTCCTGGCCCAGCAGAGCAGGAGGCGTTTGCTGTTTCTCCTGAACCGTGCAGGGGAGGCCTCGCCTGCCGCCACCGCGCAAACCAGCTCACTGCACTGGTGCTGGGGGTGCAATGGGGAACCCTCCTTCGCTCCAATCATCCCGGAACAGCCCCGGTCTCCTTATGAGGACCAAGCATGAGCAAGCCTGTGCTTTAGCAAGATTTACGGGATTTATTTATGGGAACAGCCCTGTTGCAGATTCCAGTTGAAAATGGGTATTTGGATATTGGGTACTTGGAGTGTCTCCAAGGACGGAGACTCCGCGGCGTCCCTGGCAACGTGGTGCAACATTACAGCACCCAGCCTGTGTACGCTTAGGCAGTCACTGGGAACAGCACCTGCCAGGGATCTCCTTTGTAAAAGGTGTTTTTTAAAATCACTGTTACTAGCAATATCTAGGGTATCTCTTGTGGAGACTGCTCATGGCTTATGAGCAGGAGGGAGGGAAAACGAGCGCGCCCGGCTGCCCGGGGGCAGGAGCCGGGGGCAGATCGGGGCCTGTGCCTTACCCAGTGACACCAGGGTCTCATAGTTGCCCCTCATGACCGCCTTGTAGAGCTCCTTCTGCCAGCCGTCCAGGCGCTCCCACTCCTGCTCGTTGAAGTGCACAGACACGTCGTCAAACGTCACCGGCACCTGCAGGGACGAGCGCGGCACGCTGCAGCTCCGCCCGCGCCGCGGCCGCTCCGCGGGCTGCACCGCGGGCTCGTGTCCCACCCGCACGGGCTCGGCGCGCTGAGCCTGCTGCCCACGAGCCCCCAAAGTCCTGGTCCTGTTGTGCGTGGCTGCCCTGATGCCACGGGATGCCCCCTCCAGTGCTCAGCAATTCCCAGGAAGCCCGGAGAGCTCCGGGATGACGGGCAATGCGGCCTGGTCTCGCTGGCACCGTGCCAGGGAGCCCCTGCCCAGTGTGGCATGGACGTGGGCGAGGGCAGCAGAGTCACTACGGGAATCCCAGAATGGCTGAGGTTGGAAGGGACCTCTGGAGATCACCTAATCCAACTCCTGCTCCACAGGGACACCCAGAGCACGGGGCACCCGGTGGCACCCGGGCGGCTTGGGGAGATGCCCAGAGCAGGAGCCTCCGCAGCCTCCCTGGGCAGCCTGGGCCGGGGCTCGGGCCCCCTCGCTGTCCACACAGGAGGTCCCTCCCGCGTCCCCCCGGCCCCCTCACCTTGGGCACCTCGCCGCGGGCGCCGGGCGGCAGGCGCAGCAGCCAGAAGTTCCTGTTCCTGAGCAGGTTCTCGAGGTTGTCGAGGCGCCGCTGGAGCTGCGCGTAGGCCTGCAGGCGGCTGCCCAGCTGGCCCACGAGGTGCTCGCAGGCGCGCAG